ATAGAAATAAAAAATCTAGTAAAAATCTCAGAACGAGAGGGAAGCTGATAATCAATAAAGAAGCAGTAACTAATTTTACTCTACTAATTATAAAGAGGAAAAATTCCAGTAATGCGATACTGGTAACATATGCATGTCATTTGAACATGAATATTACAATTGCAAATGCAAATTTTATTTTCCATCTGACTTTTAAGTATAACTTGGGTTAAACGTATTTAAATTTATTGTAAACACCATTCAAAATCTAAAAAGTGATGAATAATATATAGGTGTTAAGTAATTCACCTTATTGAAGCGTAAAGAGTAATATTCTAGTAACTCGTTGGAGGTGAAATATTTGCGTCACTTAAATATGGATATTGCAATTATAATTCTTACTTCTTCTCTGTCTCTTAGGGGTACCTATGCTGAAAAGTATTTGAATTTATTGGCATTTTCATTCAGAATGACAAGATTGATGACTGGTAAATAGGGGTAAACTCCATTCCATTAAAATGCTAGAGGTGGAGAATAATATTCTACCAACAGGTGAAATATTTATGCAACCATGGTGAAGAAATATTTTGTGAACACACAGTGTATATCACTGATCTGGTAAGAGATAATATAAATTAGTAACGACATAAATATACATTAATATCATATCGTGTGATCGTGTAACAGATTCCTGATTTCATATTGTAATAATTGCACCTTGAGATGAACTAGGTAACCGTGACGAATTATTCATTCGCAAGAATATACTTTGAAGATCTAAATATGATCGAATTGACTAACATCAGGCTTGTTCTCGGTAAATAAAAATAAATTATTCGATGGTTGAGACACCATTTAATTACTGGACGATCAAGGTGCAATTGTTTAACGAGATATCAAAGTCGAAGTAAAAAGTAATAAAAGTTGTGAAATATAAAATTTGTAATATATAAGGTTGATTTTAATCGATGTATTAGTCATGAACTGCTACGAGTAATAATAGTAAATAATATAATTTACGACTCGAGTTTTGAAGAAATAAATTATAACCAGTAGATATTGATAAAAATTCATAATAAGGTAAACAGATATAGATTTATAGATAAGGCAAAATTAATAATTTTTCACTTATAATTTATTTCAAATATTTATCTGGTTTATTTTTTAGATAGATGATTGAAAATTATGGGTAGGTCATATAATTTACTTTTTAAATATATTTGAGATATTATACATCAAATATTCCACTTACTTTCACTGAAATCACATTATTTTTATTATGGAAGATCAAAAAATAATGTAGAATTAAGATATGAAGGATTCGTGAGTTTTTTTCTAATTTTTTGAAAAATTTATTGATAAGTATTAAAAGTTTTAAACTATTAAATAAATTATTAATTTCTGCAATAATCGTTGTTATTAACTATATAAATAGAATTGATATCGTTTAAATAAAATGAGAAAATGTATTATACACTTAATTATCCAAATTTGTTCAATTCTTAAATAAAGATCTTTTTCTTTCAATAACATTCCATACAAAATTTCGACTTCAATTCAATCCTCTTTAATTTGATCCATAATTTCTATTTATTTTCAGATTCCATTAAATTAATTTTGACAAAGCAAGAGAAAAGGAAAGATATTTAGTAAATTATCAAATTTGCAAATTATACCACATGCCTTTACTTATGAATATATTATGCATATATGATGCACAAATAAAATATCATAAGTCAGAATGAAGATGTTACATAATTTATGATAACTTTCATTTATTCATGTGACCAAGAAATAAAAAATCGTTGTTGTCACACATATGTGCATCATCGTCACATATACATATATACACACGTGATGGTGGGAGTAAACACACGTATATCAAATATTAAGTTTACTAAATTATATAATAATTTTTTTCAGAAATTTTATATGGCGAGTTTTACGTGTCACTCCCACTGTACATCACAAATTAATATATCATTCTTTCATAAAAAATTTAAATACACCTTAACCTAGTCCACTTACAAGTGCAAAATAAGAGGAACAGCAAGGAACAACTCGTTTGTTTAATTGTAAAAGACTTTGTTGCATTTGCTGCTTTTACTCCTTACAAATGCAATTACATTCGTTAATGTTTAATATCTACATAAATACACTTGATTGCAATGATCACAATATTGGACGCATGCGAATCCCATTCCATTTTTTTTTTTTTTCTTTTTTTTATCAAACACAATTGTACAGTCCTTTGACATACGATCAAAGGGGACACATTGTCATCTCTTACACATTTACGCATATCGTATACACAGATTATATGTACAACTATTTTTAAATTCAGCCTGATCGAAATTAATTTCGCCATCACTGTAACACGTGAAACGAAGCAATAATAATTGTTCTCACAGGTTTAATCTTTCGTAGTGTCTTGTTTTTATTTCTCATTCTCTCTGATGTTGTTGAAGAACAAAATCAAGCTGAACTAGAAAAGAAATTTAATTAAATATGTACAAAATTTATTTCTTCCTTTTAAATCACTTAGATCGTTATTATAGTATTTCCATTTTTCAATTTCACTTATAAAAATGTTTGGAAATATTTGCGAATCTTTAACCAAAGGTATAAATTACATTCGTAATATTAATATACAAATTATGCTGATTCTTTCTCTTCTTCTTAATTTTCATGCTTCTATAAAATGTAAAGTACGGAATTATGCTAGTCCATGTTTGAAAAATATTGTGCAAATTAAGCTATTATACAATGCAGCAGTTACCATGAAAATCTCGAATTTCGAGCTTAGTGAATTACATTAAATTGATTCATATTTAGGACATATTATGAACTGTATAGTCTATCGTTGAATCATATAAATCCTCTTACAGCGTAAAATTAAGATAATCCGATTAGAATTGGAACTTACAACCTTTTTGGACATGAACAATTTTGTACTTAGTACGCCAATGCTATTTACTATGCTTCGCGTCGACATGCTGGAAGTACTAGTAATATTCAGCTAGTCTAGAGCACAACACATCCAACAGTTTCTCTCGTGGGTTGTTTCGACTTAAAATCTAGAGGAAGCGTTTCCCAAACCACCTTGACTCACAAATTAATCGTTTTGTACAATCTCAATTCCTGAATACGTTCAGCAAACCGTGACACGAGGGATTTTTAAACGTAAGTTTGATCATGGCTCTACCACTGAATTACTTCCATGACAAATATTAATTTATTTCATAAATTACAGTTTGGAAAACGCTGATGTACTGGCACTTGACACCTTGACTAACCAGGAATGACGAGATAACTCGTCACTGGAAAATTATTTAGCAGGAAAATCGAGTGAATTTTTCACTGAGCATTGGACAGTATATACACGAATGTAACATTAGAACTAATAAAATAATCAAAATGACCGATTTCAGATATTTAATTTGTGCATTTACACGCAGCTATTTTTGACAAAATTAATATTAATTTCTTTTCTATAGAAAGATCTTAACTTTGCAATTGTTGTTGTCTATGTATGCTATATTGGATATCCATTGAAGGTCTGCAGTTTTAGTGTTAAATTTATTTAGTATTTAAATTAGTATTTAAATTAACTTTAAATATTTCTATTCATGTTGACTTTACTGTACGACAAAATTAATTTTTGTTGAAATTATTTATACATTTATGGGAGAATATATTTTGGAATTTGATATTGTCAATTGTGCAATTTGTTAATCAGAACGTCGTACTGAAATAGAGAAGAATTAATTTCAATTAAATCGATTTTAATTTGAACAAATAAAGTAATATGTATCTGATCTAGTAATCTGATTTGATAAACGAATGTGAAAAATCACTGAGAAATTAAATTGTTATAAAGTGACGTGTTATGTTGTTATTCCCAGTTAACAAAATTAATTAACGATTAACAATCATGTAAGGTGTGTTACGATATTTGTATTTACCGCGTGTGTGGTGAATAACTTGTCTTCGCAAGTTCGCCGTAGAGTGCGCTACCTGCAGGCAGATTCCTCAGTTAAGAAGTTAAGGAGTAAACAAAGAGACAAGCATTTTGTGCTTTTCCAACAAAATTTCAAATCTCTTTGTCAACGATACCGAGAGATAACATATCATTAAACTTTTCAACGTTTAATAACATTATAACTCGTTTTGATTTGGTAGTTATAGTGTTTAGGCCTTTAGTGCACCTCGTTTTCGCTTAATATTGAGTATGAACACAGAGGAATCGATATTTTTGACAGTATAAATCAATTCTCGTTGATAAACAATCGCTTAGAAAATCGATAGATAGTTTATCTACAATCTAAGGATTACGAGTTTCGTCGCTGAGGCACCAGTTTGTGCAGGCAACATTGAGTTAAATACTAGAAAATGATCGTCGCGAGAAGATGAGTTCGATGAATAATTATACAACGTGTGTCACATAAAAGTTATCTAATTATCATGTAAATTATGTACTCATGTGAGAATCTCAAGTGCTCTGAAAAAATGATAATGATTGAAAAAAATGAAATGATATTCCTTATACATTTGTTGATTGATGGAATTGACACTGTAAAATTTTATGTGAAACACCATGTATAATAATCGATCGTAATACAAAAGATATTCGAAGATGAAAATACGTTCGTTGCTTTTGTTCATTGATAAATATGTTGAAACTAAAAGGTTCGCACATAACTTTCTTCGTCGACGAACAAGGAGTGCACCATTGTTTAATTAAGCTAACTTTTCCATATTTTTTACTGTATAATTATTATTCTTCGAGGTAGTCATAAAAAGTTTATTCAATTTTTGCAAAGCGACTTTCTTCGTATTCTTATATTTTTAGAACTTTGAAATAGTTAATTATCTTATTTCTCTGTTAATATCATGGACAAATATGAAAATCTTATACTATCAGGAGATACTATCATTGATGTTATTCAATACTTGAATGGCAAAAAAAAATTGTTTAGAAATGTATATGTATAAAAAAGAAAGTACTTCCAAGCTTCGATTATCATTTAAATGTAAATAGTATACAATTTCTATACTCTATAAATTTTGACACGAGTGATTATTATTTCTTTAGGCAACGATGTTCAGTTTTGATTAATTGAACAAAATGCACTCTTATCTGAAAGAACGTATACGACAACACTATTTCAAAGACATTTTAGTCTAGGATGGTTGAGAGTTCTATTCGAGGGTTAAGACCAGATCGTCTCCTTCTAATCTCATTCCCTGAGTGACTTCAAGCGTTTTGATTTTCCCAGCTTTTGGTGCCTGAACCACCATTTCCATCTTCATAGCAGATAACACGACTAGTGGTGCTCCTTTTTCAACTGTGTCACCAACTGCCACTCTTATGTCAATTACAGTGCCAGGCATTGGTGCACCAACCTGGTTTTTGTCTCCTTTGGCAGCTTTGGGATGTACATGAAGCTCCTGATTAACAAGACAGTGATTTATTTGAATGTTTCTCAGTAGGTCTCTTAATATAAGTTTGATTGATTTTAAAATATGTGAAATACACTTTAATTAAATAGCTTTTAACTAATAATCAATAAACTGAAGACATGCACTAGTCTTAATATGGACAGTTCTTTTAAAAGAATATATCTTACATTCAAAAAGAAGTTATAAGAAGAATGGCTTAGACGAATAATTGTATTTAAGATATTAGAAGAGATCAATTACATAAATAATCAATATTAGTGACCAATATTTTTGAAATCTTTAAAAGAATGTTTAACCTCAAAGTCAAGTAAGAAGAAATTACAAAGTAACATTGGATCATTTAATGGGATACTAAGAATTAATAGAAATTTCTTAATAAAACCTTCCTTAATTTTAATATTTGTGTATTTTTGAAATATTCAAAGAATCAATGAGAAAATATTCTATGAACACTTTCCTTAAGTAGGTGCATTGCATACTCAGAAATCAGAATTTTGGTAACGATGCATGCAATTCTAAAATGTTACAAATTATAGAAATAGTAATTTGGATAAATAGTTATAAAAGTAAATATATTTTGTCCCAATGTCAAATAAAAGGGTAATATAATATAAATAATGTAATATTAAATTTAATATTGAGTTTTAAGATTGTACATCTATAAAAATACACAAAGCATATATTATGCCTATTCCCTATGATCTCTAATCTCTATCTTCTTTTTCAACGTTAGTCATTTTTTGAAAATATCAAGAATGAAAATTGACTATTTTAAATTTACCTTAACGGCCTCTTTGTCCTTAATGAACACTGATCTAAGTTGTCCATTCATTTCGAAGAACACCTCGCGCTCTCCATTCTTTGTCAGATCTTCAGCAACAGCCAGAGTTTTGATGGCCAAGGTTTTACCCTTCTCGATCGTCACGTCGAACTCTTCCCCGACTTTTGGTCCTGTCAAGAAGATTCTAGTCTCCAATTTATCCACTGGTCCATACTGATCACGGAAGTTCAAGTAATCGTTCGTAACTGTAGGATACAGGGCAGCTGACATGATGTCCTCGTCCGTGATATGAGGATGAGACTCTTGTAATTGAGACTTAAGTTCAGCGAAATCTAATGGTGGCAAACTTGCACCTGGTCTTCCTTTCACGCGTGGCATGTCTTTCAATACCTTCGACCTGGAAAGAGTAAATTTACATACTCTCTTCTTTCAAATATACACTTTTCATTGAGTCATTGGTATTTAAGGGACGAGAATTATTTTTATCAAAGTTTATCTTTTTGAAAATAGATTGTAATCATCGCGTGTTTAATAAACTAATTTCACATACCTAAGGGGTTCAGGGAAGCCTCCATAGGGTTCACCTATAGCACCTTGCAGAAACTCTACTACCGATTTAGGGAAGGACAATTCCTCAGCCTTGTTCAGGACATCCTCAGACTTAAGCTTATTCTGAACCATGAACTGTGCCAGATCGCCAACGACCTTCGAGCTGGGAGTGACTTTGATGATGTCACCAAGCAGCAGATTGGCTTCTCTGTAAGCTTTCTTCACGTCTTCGAAGAATTCTCCCAAACCTAACGAGTAGGCTTGGAATTGCAAGTTGGTGTACTGGCCTCCAGGGATTTCGTTGAGGTAGACATCCGCGTTTCCGGATTTCATGGTGGTTGTGCACTCGAATGGAGCATAGAGAGTCCTGGTCTGCTCCCAGTATGCAGAATACTCCGAGATATCATCGAGGTTGAGTTTGGTGTCCTTGTCGGTTCCTGTCATTTTTAAGTCGATTATTATCTTTTGTGTCTCAGACCAATCGTATCTTTAATAAATGCTGATATAACCTGTCACGAATCATGGATAACAAAGTATTGGTATGGAGAGAATGGAAAGATGAGATACGTGTCTGGGTCTCATTGAGGTTTGGGCTATGTGATATAGATAGAGGAGCAATTGATCAATACTGGTCAAGTCCTTGGAGTTCTATGAGGTCCATCAAGATATGAATAACATCTCAGAAGGTGAGGATAGCACTGTTAATCCTTTTCTCTAAAGAAAAGACACCGAGGGCGTAGAAAAGGAGAGAATGGAACCATTTCTTCACTAATGATTCCAAACACACACGAATCGAGCACATAATAGAAAAAGAGCTTACCAATTAGAGAGGCCACCACGGCACCCATAGATGGTTGACTCGTCATGCCAGACATGCTGTCAACGGCAACGTCAACGACATCAGCTCCGTTTTCTGCACAGGCCAACATCGACGCCACTCCAGCCCCCGCGGTGTCATGCGTGTGAACGTGGATGGGAACGTCAGGGTGCTTCTGTCTAATCGCGTCTATCAGCATAGCAGCTGCCTTTGGCTTCAAAAGACCTGCCATATCCTTGATCGACAGCACGTGAGTGCCAGCCTTCATCAGCTCGTCCGCCAGGTTCGTGTAATACTTCAGATCGTACTTCTTTTTGTTGGGATTGCTGACATCACCCGTGTACGAAATTGCAGCTTCGACTATACCTCCGGCTTTGCCAGCTGCCTCCATGCCTAACGAGTAGAATTAATGAATAAAACCATCACAAGTTCTTAAAAAATTAAACTTTCCAATATAACTTTTTATCGATTCGCTAATCAAAGACAGAGCGAATTGCGAAAATTAAAATATGAGATACCTAACTATTTAGTGACCACCAACGTGAACACTAGTCTAAAAATAATTGCTATTATTATTTTTTATTTTATAAATCAATTAAAATGGTACCTACTTATTGCTCATATAACAAAATACATAATCTATTTAAAATTTAATTGGTGCAACTATTTGTTGAAAAATTTCTTACGTTATTTCTGACTGTGATAGAGACACATATATTTACTTTTTTTATATTTTTTAATATTGATATCAACGATGTAGCGACTATAGGCACGTAAAAGTAGTAATATTTGTCGTGGAAATGGTGAAGAGGGTTTATGGAACGCGCTCATTCATAGTTGTTTGTGAGAAAATCGTTCTTCCCTTCAGCGAAAGTCTTTACTGCTTTATCAGCATGAAAAGTAGCCTTCAGATTTAGTTAATTATGACCTTAACAGCTCATGCGGGTGCCATAAACTCTTGACTTTTCTGAAAGGCCCGCGAGACACGGCAGGCAGACGACGGCCCGTCACGTGATGCACCGCGGGCCCGCAGGAGACCCCCCGGCGTTCCCAATTCCTCAAGTGCACTCCCGCGCAAGAAAAGCGCGCCAAAATGATTCGCAAAATAGAGTGTAGCAAAGTCATCGGGAAGACTCCGTAACCATTAACCAATCAAGATGCCTTATTGGCATCTCGAGGTGTTTCCCGGGCCCAAAAATTCCTAGTCTAGCCCAAGTTTCCCCTAGGAAACTTCGTGAATAAAGCATTGTACAAATAAAGCCTCAGCTTTGGAAAACGAACAAACTTGGATAAGTATCTTACAACTCACCGAGATACTCATTTCCTACAACGAATAATATTTTATAATATCCTAACAAAATGTCATAATATTCTAAAATATGAATATTATTTTATTTATTCATTCATGTATGCTTCTCACTATATTTGGAACAATATCACGAGTATTTAACACTAGAACTACCAACACAATGAAAATGACTGGTCCCAAAATTTTCCTTTCTGCAATCACCGAACACATACACCTGCTTTAAGAATAAAATTGATATCAACTCATATTAAGAAAGAACTGTAATCAATATATTCACTCATATTCATCGTGCCGCTGAAATTACTATAATCTGTGCACGTTATAGTTAGGTACCTATTAAAGATCGGTAGTTCTAGTATTAAAAGAATGTTTGAATATTATTTTATCTTAACGAAGCTCACGAGTTCCATCGCTTACCAAGAATTAAGTTCGGCAGATAATTCAACGAATCGAACACCCTGAATACGTCCATTCCAGTCTGCACAGCCAGCTCGCAGAATTTGAACACGACATTGTCCGGATAATTGGTGTAACCCACGGCATTGGCCCCTCTGAGAAGCATCTGGAAGGGAATGTTCGGTATCGCCTTTCGCATATTTTCTAACCGCTCCCAGGGACACTCGTGTAGGAACCTGAGCGCCACGTCGAAGGTGGCGCCACCCCAGTTCTCTAGGGAGTACAAGTTGCTGAACTTGTGCGCGACGAGAGGAGAGATCGTTAGAAGATCGTGCGACCTGACACGGGTCGCTAGGAGTGATTGATGAGCATCACGGAACGTGGTGTCCATCAGGAGTAACCCTTTGTGCTGTCTGACTGCCTTGGCGAAGGCTTCTGGCCCTTGCTCTTTGTAGATGTGTCGGAAGCCTTTCGGTGGTTCCATTACGTCTGGAAAATTCAGGGAGGTTCATTGAAGATCCTAAATTATGGCGAATGATGGATAAGCTCTTACGTGCAGGGGTTAGTGAGCTTGCACGTGCAGTGTGAAAACGAAGCGTTAGAGGTGACAGAGATTAGTTGAAGAGTGGAAATAAAAATTCGGGGTTGAAAGAATTAGGTACCATTTTTTATGCTAGTGACATTTTGGGACTACGTGACCCATGCACGTGATAAATTTCTTGTCAAGTTTTTTAAATTTAACGTGGCTTGCTAAATATAGAGGAATAAAAAATAAATTGGTAAATTCAGAAAATTTGGACAAATATTTTAATGATATATTTTAGACATCTGATAATTTATTTAAAAATTTTATTTAGAAATTAGGAACAGTCTAGTGACAGATTATTTAATTATAAAAGTATTAGGAATAATTTTGGTATGGTAAATTCAGAAAATTTGATAAAATATTTTAATAATATATTTCAAACATCTGATAATTTATTTAAAAATTTTATTTAGAAATTGGGAACAGTCTAGTGACAGATTATTTAATTATGAAAGTACTAGGAATAATTTTGGTATGCAATATATTTTCCACTCTTCAACTCCATCTCATTGGTTGCTTTACATTTGTTTAAAATTAAACATTTATCAATTCACTTTCCTTATTTAAAAATTTAAACTTCATGAAATTTTTCCATAAATTTTAATACCTACTTATGGAATACTGTACTTTTGAAACATATACTACATATTTACACCAACAATGTATGTATACCCTTTTTGCAAAATTCGATGCAATTCGAATAGCCAATTAATTAATATAATTTTTGAAACTCATTTTGATGAGGTTCCCAAAAATTTTATTATTACTATACCATATTGCCAATCAATGCTACACCCTTTTAAGTCATATCAAATAATTTTGCCCACAAGTAATACACACTAATTTAATGATAGACAAACCAAATGTATATTTTGAAAATATATTAGAAAATCTACTTTTGTTTCCTATTTTCTACTTTTTATTTTCGAAAAAATAAATAACTATAGTCTCCAAACATACATTTAGTTGTTCATTCTTCATTCTCAAATTTATGTGAGCAATTCAAAACTGAAGTTATATCTACAATAATTATGCAATAATTAAATACGTTGATTATTAACACTTATATTCTATGTATTTAATATAATTGCATTGTAAAGGTAGTATTCTGAATAAGTACGCGAATTGTGACGAAAATTCTAGAAAAAAATGTCGAGCACATATTCCAAGTACAGGACATGTATCGAACGATAAACTTGATTAATTTCCTGTAAAATATTTGTTGGAAAAACTATTGATTGACTTCGTTTGTGAACCACTCACGTAGCGAACGATGTATTTAATTTAGACAATTATTCTGCCTAGTGACCCAACAAATTCCCTTTCGCTCGTACAAACCGAATCCCAATTCCAATTCCAATATTTGTAAATTCACGAATCACGTGTCTGCAATAACATAATTAACGTGATGGAAGGAAATAAAGAGAAACGAAATTTGTCAACCTTGATAAACAAAATATCGAAATTTCTATATTTCAAAGCATCAAAGTATCGAGAATTTTATATTTCAAAATATCCAAATATCGAGATTGCAAATTGCGAAATATTAAATTATCGAAATTGCAAAATTTCGAAATATTAAAATATAGAAATTGCAAAATTCCGAAATATCAAATTATCGAAATTGCAAAATTTCGAAATATTAAAATATAGAAATTGCAAAATTCCGAAATATTAAATTATCGAAATTGCAAAATTTCGAAATATTAAATTATCGAAATTGCAAAATTTCGAAATATCTAGATATCGAGATTGCAAAATTGCGAAATACTAAAATATTGAAATTCCTAAATTTTGAACTATCAAAATATCGAAATTTAGAAATTTTGAAATATCAAGATTTCCAAATTTCAAGATATCCAAATTCCAATCTATCGATATACCTAACTCCAGCAGAAGGTAACGACTAAATACTTAACGATGTAATCGACATAAATCAAGACAAAGTCATCTTGAATCATACCTGGCATATCTGGATCATTGATCTCTTCTGCAGCTGCAAGCTTAGCAAAGTCTAAAAAAATTGCCAAACGAAAAGATAAAAGCATGCGATAAACAACGAGGTGTAATTACGAGAGGTCATTAATATCTAAAAGTAAAAAAAAAAAGTAAACAGAGTTATTGAACGACAAAAGGAAAATCAATGATGGCGATAGAGAATTAAGATAAATATGATCTATTTGAAGATCGTCGCGAATGTCTATTATGCGAATGAATACGTGATGAAGTTTTAAGTCACAAATGCTACTGTCAAATCGTATATAGAATGAGTAATTTAACAACGAGAAGTTACACTTTACAGAAATTGAAACACCATGCCAAGATACTATGTTATGAGGATAACAGAATAAGAATAATATACAGTACCTCACGAAAGTAATTAAATACTTGTGTTTCGAACTTTTGACAAATTAAATAAATACTATAAACTCGTATTTTTGAAAATATTATTGCACCTAAATTCAGATACGAGTTATGAGAAAAATTATGAAAATATCAATAAGCTTAATTTATAAATAAATAATAATTTTGTTATGATTTCGATTCTAAAAAGAAATATTTTTCTTACAAAATATAATTAACATTTCGAATTTCCAAATTGTTAATGTTTTGACTTCCGAAATTTTATGTTTCGAAAGTTCCAGGAATTATGAATATTTAAACTCTCGAGAATTCTAAATTTCTATAATTTCGTGAAATTTTTGAAAATTGCGAATTATTAAGGTGCCAGTAATTTTTAACCCAAAAAATTTCGAGAATATTGACTTTCGAAAATGAAAAAAATATTGAGTTTTTGAAAATTGGAGAGTTTCGAATTTTGAATGCGTCGTGAATTTCTATCTCCAAAAATTTATTTTCATAATAATTTTTCGCACAGGTTGTCGACATTTTTATTTCAAATATTTAAAATTGCTTAGGTGCAGTATTTTTTTCAGAGATTCGAATTCGTATTTTGTTTGTCAAAATTTGGAAACACAAGCGTCCGAGTATTTTCATGAGCAGTTGTATGTGTCATACGTGTGTATGTATACATGTATCGTATCAAGTTTTAGACGTAGAAGGAAATGTACTTTACAATAAAAATTATATAGAAAATCGAGTACAGTGCAAAACATTTAATATCTAACATGGCGTGGACCCCTTGCAATTGTTTTTCAACCCAGCAGAAAAGCGTAGAAAATTTTCTAAACAAAAAAGGGTGTCTACTAAAAACCTTTTTAATAGCGCAATAAAAAACATAAAAATAATAATATATTTTTCTCATGAAACTAATTAATCGTGCAGTCTTTCAATTTATACTCTAAAAGTCTACTTGAATACACCATACATAGGAATATAGATATAATTTTGCATAAATATCTAAAATAATAAAGGATATATGCTACAAATATTAAAGACAATTAAACAAGACAAAAAGATATAGAAAAAAGTTTGTTGAATTAAAAGAAATAAAAATTAAACGAGTGAGTATATTGTTTTTGTCGTAAAAATTTGAGTTATTGATATTTTGTTAAATAATTTTTCGAGATATTGGTAATTTAAGTAGAAAATCGTGCAATTTCATAGTTTTTCCCAGATTTAAAAAATTAGTTAATTTTGAAAACTTCAATTACCAATTGTGCTCGCTATTTCCAATAGTGTTTGAATTTATTAACTCTTTCTGAACTATAAATTCTTAGCCAATAAATTTTAACCTTTTGAGATCCTTTAAGGATAGCATGATTTTCACATCATCACTTCAGAATGAACATTTTACTATAAGGAATTTTAATTCCACATTATTTTATATTTTAATCGATAAAACGAATTTGATTACAATACAATACATAATAAAAATGTACTTTTGAAATTGTATCATTAGCATCATTTAATTACGTAATAAATTTTAGAATGATTTATGGAATAACTTATAAACAAAAAGTACACGAAGCAATAAATATATCGTTTAACAATCGAATATCGAATATTGAAAAATAAAATTCAAAATTATTTGAATAATAAAATTAAATTGTTTTGGACAACAAAAGGTTAATATTCAAAATTTGAAGCCATGTTTCTAAGATATTTCGTCATGGAGCACTGATTATCATTGATATAATACAATCAGAAATGGTAATTTATCAAATAAAACAAAAACTAAAAAAAAAAGATATCTTTTTTAAATTACATTCATATAACTCTCCCCTTAAATCCTCTGCATTATATAATACTAAACAGGAAGAAAAAGCACACGACCAAAAATTTTTTTAATTCTTAATTTCACCCTCCATCAAATTCCAAAGGCTTAAAATTTTAATCTAATAATTAAAAAAAATTCGTTTCCTTTTGTAAAATTATTGTTTAAAATGATATAGTAGCTCTTGAAGCACAATAATTTTAAAGGCATTAAAAATTGCTAATTTAAAGTATGAAAACATATGTGTAACACATTTCACAAGTTTCAGAAGATCAAGACCACGTACAATCAGTGCTCCATCATGTGAAAAGTCGAAGAAACAGCCCGCTGCACAACCACCAGTAGACACCCTCTAGACACAGTGAAGAGAAAGAAAAGTCTGGCTCCTGATTTGCTGACCCACGCATTAAAAGCAGTCCTTTGTGTGCTTAATCCTAACCGTACCCAATCACGTTCATTACGAAACAAATATGAGAAGTATTTCGACTCTAGTATCGCGGATACTCGTGACAGGACGTACTTATTCCTGCTCAAGACTTCGATACCATACCTAAAGCGATTTGAGGAATGTGAGGCTTTATCTCAGCTGGTTTCAACGGTGTTGCCAGTGGAGTGCTCGGTCCATTCACGAGGACCGAACCGAGGTAGTTCAACAGCTTCTGGGCACGGTTCTGACTAGGCTGGAACTGGAACAGCTGAGGATTCTCGTCGATGAAGTACGTGTCGACGTTCCCATTGAGGAACTTCTGATTCTCCAATACGTTCAACAGGAATGGGATGTTGGTTTTCACTCCGCGAACACGGAACTCACGGAGAGCGCGGTTCATCTTTGCACAGGATGATTGTAGGTCGCCTGCGTGAGCTATTACCTGAGGACAAAAGTAAGATTCCGATGAATACCTAAACAGATGAGGATCTTCTTTCGAGTTTACGACAATCTATGTCACGAAGAGATGGAAGGTGTTTGAAAGCCTTTGAGTAAAGAAGTCAGTGACAAAGTTGACTAGGTTTCATGAATAGGAGGATGTAAATACTTATACATTGTTTTAAATGAATATATTTCTCGTTTATCCAAAGTTCAATACTTTATTTCACATGGTCTATGCACTGGTCTAGGCTAGGTCTAGAGTAGGCTACTTTTCTACGTACCACTTAGAGCAAACCTTTCTTATGACTTCAAAGTTCAATTCTTTATTTCACTTGGTCTATGCACTAGCCTTGCACATGTGCTAGAATAGATCTTTCTTATCACTTCAAAATCCAATTCTTTATTTCACATGATCTATGCACTGGTCTAGGCTAGGTCTAGAGTAAGCCACTTTTCTACGTACCACCTAGAGCAAACCTTTCTTATGATTTCAAAGTACAATTCTTTATTTCACTTGGTCTGTGCACTAGTCTTGCACTAGTCTAAAATAGACCTTTCTTATCACTTCAAAGTCCAATCTTTTATTTCACTTGGTTTGTGCACTGACCTAGACTAACTTTACAGTAGACACCTTATCTACATATGTTCAAAAATAAATTATGTTTATTTATTCAATGTCTTATTTATCATTTCGTATGAGCTATATACTGGTCCTATACACGTGTGTCGAAGTAAACCTATTTCATTTATTTAAAATTAAATTATTTTGTTGGTCCATGTAGTGATCCCACAGGCATGCTAGAATATATCATTTTATCCTAAAAATTCGTCATAAGTATTTGATTCTTCCTGTCAGAGGGCTCATAAATGTGATTCGTTTGTTATGTGAAATAATAATATGATAAAATTTAAGATTCGTATTGGGGTTTACCTTGACCAGAAGCGAATCATAGTAAGGCGAGATGATGGCACCAGCGAACGCAGAGGCGCTGTCCAACCGAATACCCATACCTTCTCCAGAACGGAACACTTCGATTCTTCCGGTATCCGGTTGGAAGCTCTTCGCAGGATCTTCCGTTGTAACACGGCATTGTATCGCGAAACCTTGAGGAACGATCTTTTCCTGCGTCATACCCAGCTCGGGTAACGTCATACCCTCGGCAATACGGATTTGAGATTGCACCAAGTCGATTCTGAAAATATTTTACATTTCGTGAATTCTAAATTACAAAATTTGGAACATTTCTAATTTTTCAAGCAAAGGAAGTTCTTTGTCTTAGTTAAAACAAAATTTCATGTGTGATATTCTGTTCCTCTTTATTGATTAGAAAATTATTCTTTTGAAGGTCTAGTCGATGGTTTCCAGAAAATTGTAATAGATAAAAATTTATTAGATCTTTGATAAAATATTCAATATTATTTAAGCTATTTTTAGTATCTTCGATAAAAATGTAAAATAAAATATTTAAGGTAACATTTATTCATGTAAAGTCTCTAAATATTTATGGTTAAATGGAAAACTATTTTTCCATAATTTATATTTCTCCGTCAAAGTGCAACGAGTCCATTGGGACGTTGTTAATCCAATGGTAATTTTATTTCCATGTCATAGTGGGGATATGTCGACCCTAGTCGACCGGGATATCAGGTACCTGTGAGTATATTAGGTTCGTAAATTACAATATTAACTTCTTCCGCTACAATAATGATTCAGCACATCACAAGTTCCTCATGTCAACAATTATATGACTATATTTATATCATATAACTGCAATCAAAATTTTGATAAATATACAAAATTTATACTTATTTAAAAATATTTTTATAATATTCTAAACGAAATAAACATTTAGTACCTAATTAAAATTAAATACTTTTTATAAAATGTACTATACAATTTTTCATATTTTTCATATTGTTCAGAATCATCTACAGTTTCCTTAAATATCTCATCCTATTGTTTTGAAAGAGAAAACACTTGTAGTTTAGGGTTCAATTGATTTTTAAAACGTGATGTATCGGACCTTTTACGTTCTACTGTGATTAAATCTCATGAAACAATTCTCAATTAGTTCCTACCCCATTCAACAGGGGCACGAGATAGGCCACGAGGTCTCGCTTATCCTCGTTCTCGTGGGATCCGGCTAGAGGTCAGCACTAGCGCGAGTTACGCGCCGACTAATCGGCAGAGGGTGCTCAGGTATGAAATTGGATTGCGCTCACTCGTGACTGCGAACTCGTTCGATTTGGACGCATCGCGATTTTAGCTTTGAATATCGTGATCTTTGCGATTAACTGCGATAAAATTGCGCTCTTGCAATTTTCTTTGCAATGTCATATTTAAATTCTGATTTTCCAGTACCAAAAGTTCAAATTATTCTTATTACAGGATATAGTAGAATAGTCGCATTAATTATGGGAAAATATATTTATATAATAATTAATCCTTATTTCGAGAATTTTTCAATCCTCTGCTTAGGTTTTATTAATTTACGAAGTTTAAGACGTAACTTCCATACTTCAATATTTTAGTAAGACTAATAATAAACTAATAAACTGGATCATCATGGACAAAACTAATGACAAATTTTCGTTCCTATTACTTGTGCAAATGATCGAACCATATATAATTGATACCAATTTAAAAGAACCTTTCGATAACAGCTATCGATACACATTTCTGCAACCATTTCAACTCATTTCTCATAATCCAGATTAATCTATATCGTGAGATACAACTATCATGCTCAAGTATATATTAATCTATATTATGAAACATGACTTTCATACTTCAATATCTTCCAGCACTATTTCTGAAGTAGAAATAATAACCACAATTCTCATCATCAATATAACGGGTGACAAATTTTCTCCCAAGGTATATATACACACACACATATACAGGATGTCCCAGCAAAATATAAATAAGTATACTCGTACTCGATGAATATTCAAAATCGAAAAAATTTTATTCTCTATTCTTCATTTATTTTTTTCATTGTTAAATAATTTCCTTTCCGGTTGTATTACTGCTGCTAGGATACGCCCTGCATATAGGGTGTCCAAAAGGTTGGCACCGAACTGAGACTACGTGTTATCGAGGTCAAACAGATTTTCAAAAAATTCGTATAAACTTACGCCCGAAGAGGCTTTATTGAAAATATATATAAGCGTTCAAAGATTTACGCACAAAATTCGTCGTGCAATTCGTTGTAGAGAACTGTACACGTTTATAGACGAAAGATTGATAGGTCCTTATAGGATGCCATGCAGACTAATAGCTTGATCTTATTTATAATTTTTGTAAAATTATCTTCACGATATGTTGCATAACGTCTCATTGGAAATGAAGATCAAATATCGTTGCAGCACAACGGTGCCTCACCACATTTTCGACTGACTGTACGTGAATTTCTTAATAGACAATCCTCCCAATGTTGGATTGGTCGTGACGGACCAATCAGTGGGCCTCCTAGGTCACCTGACCTAACGCTCATAACCTCTATTTACGGGGTTACGCAAAAGAGTTGGTTTATACCAAATTTGATTAATTTAATTTAAATTTAATTTTTAAACTTATTAAATTTATATTTAATTTTTAATTTTGAAAATATATTCAAAATGTATTTACTATTATTTCCAATACAAATGGAGTCATTTTATGGAACTCGATAATCAATAATTCGACGAATGGAAGCCTGCATCCTTAAAGAAGGAGGAATTTTCGAAAATTTTCTGTAAATGTCTTAAAAGATCATAAATATCTTCGAAGACTTATATCTTTTTAATAAAGCAGTTTTGAATATAAGTCTATATGAATTCTTTTCATCTACTTGACCTCGGTAACATGTAGTCTAAGTTAGGTCCCAACCTTTTTGGACACCCTGTATGTACGTATGTAATTATAATAGATAGTTAACCGAATTTCCTAATTCCAAATCTATTCTCCCAATTATACTTACCCAGTGATCTCTTCCGTAACAGTGTGTTCGACTTGCAGCCTAGCGTTGACCTCGATGAAGTAGAAATTTCCGGACTCGTCGGCCAAAAATTCGACTGTACCAGCGTTCGAGTATCCAACGTGTTTCGCCAATCTCACAGCGTGGTCCGTCATCTTGTTCCTAACCTTGGTGTCTAATCGTGGCGCAGGAGCAATTTCGACGACCTGAAGTTATGAGCAGAAAAATGGTACATTAGGTTTGTTCGACTAAGCAAATGGATGTAGTTTTAACGGCTTTGAAATTGGGTTTAATACAAAGTCTCGTGATGTTCACTGGGTGCGTTGGTCTAGAATTTTTTAATTGCTGCAATTTTCCTTCTCGTTCTTTTTGCTTTTTTGCGCGCATATTTCCCAACGCTGCCCTCGTTTTCCGTGAGCAGCGGAACATGCGAATGTCATTGAAACGCCCAACGAATCCTTAAGTCGGAGAAGTAAGAGTGAGATCAATACTGAAGCATAAATTTTAACGAGAATGGAATTTATTGTGCTTTTTTTCATAAATTAATCTGAGAGTTCTAATTTATTCGCTGATTTATCGTGTAATTACCGTACTACGTCATTTTATATGTTAATTTTTATTAAATTTAACCCTTTGCACTCGACGACTTTTTGTCTAGAGAAGGGTAGAAATTCAAAGATTCCCTGCTAATAAAGCTGACTATATATTTTTCACCAATAAATAAGAAACCGTATAATAATTAACACGTAGAATTATTTGATTCCGATACCTCACACATTGTTACATTACCTTAAAATTGAGATATTAATTAATATCGATCTCCAAAATTTTATTGAACGGTGACTGAAGGTCGCCTTTCGAGTGCAAAGGGTTAATATAATATTAAATTTTATTATATATTACTTTACACTTTTGATTTTGTTTATTATATATAGTTTTGTGTTCGTTAGTTTGGTCAATTTCATTATAGAGGGAGTTAGAATAATTCATTTCATTTCTATTGTAAAGTCTTTGTAATAATTTGAGGTATCGCGGAGTTTGAGCTATCGAGGGTACCTTAATTACGTAATTGCGATAATTACGAGTGATGACATACATCAAAATATCTTAATTGCATGATGCATTAACATTTGTTGAATTTTAAATGCAGGAAAAATATATTACATTAAATAAATATGAAAGTATATGTGGCATAAATGTACAGTGATAAAAAGATATTGGTTCCTATAAATTTTCATGTCAATAATTGTTATGGTTACATCTTCATACTAATTACTGATCGGGTTATTATTTATTTGATAAAAAGTTTGATATTAAAAGATTTTAGTAAAGAGTTCAATTATCGTGTTAATTCTTAATAATTGACTTAGGTGCTCTAGTTATTTATAAAATTATTTCAGTATAATGTTTATATCTTGTCCTCTTGTGCTTGTAGCATAACTGATAATAATCCAAATTATCATATAATAATGAATGTAGCAATGTAATTTATAAGAGACGGCAATCATTGTTTGATGCATAAGAAACGGTCATCTTTATTCGTTTATGTACCATTATAATTATGTAAGTGTAGCCTTAATCATGTAACGAAAGCTTATGTAATACCATCATGGATAAGTCACGTTTGATGATTTAGATATACCCAACGTTTCAATTTACTTCTTCGTTAGTTACGAAATTTTTATATTTATATAATTTATATTGCATGTATATTATTTTCATAATACATATAATAGAATTTTATATATAATATCGTATATTAAATTATATATTATTATAAAATGTTTCATGATAGTAATTTTATAATATATATACAAAGTGACTCGGTTTAATTTGTTGGGAATAAATATTTCGAAAAATATAAATGATACGAAAAAGGATTTAAAACAAACGTGATATAGTTTTCAATTTTGAAAGTGCTACACAAGTCGAATTGAAATTTTTGGATTAGAAGCTGTATCTATTACATATTACTATAGTTGGCATCTAAACATTTTTAAGATAGTATCTAAATGTAGTTTTTGGATAAACTGTTTCCTAAATATAATCTTTCGAAATTGAAATTGATTAGTATACACAGAAATTTATTTAATATAGGAAGTAAAATTTATATTATATAAATATATGTATTATTCGAGTGATTTTCAATTTAACTTCTTTCACTTTTAATTCCTACCTTTCTCAAAAGTCATTCAAAAGTTTATTTCTATCGAATCATTAAAAAATTCGATTCACCGATCACAGTAGAGATCATAAAAAGGTACATAAATAGATATGTCTAGAAATAGATGCAATCAGGAACAATTGGAATAAATGACATTATGAATGACCACGGTCTATGAATACTTGGGCCACCTCGTTTACTGACCTTTTGATGACGACGTTGCACAGAACAATCGCGTTCGTAAAGATGAACGACATTGCCAGCTTTATCTCCCAACAGTTGGACTTCGATGTGCCTCGGTCTCTCAATGAACTTCTCAATGAACATCGCTCCGTTTCCGAAAGCGGCCGCAGCTTCCGAAGAGGCACGGTCGAACATTTCTCGGACCTCCTCCATTTGTCTTACCACTCTCATTCCTGAAAAGTGAATAAAATTATTTGTATTTTCTAAATATTTCGCAATAAAGTTACTTTCTTTATTAAATTTATAAATTTATTAAAGATATTTTCAAATATATTAAAAAATATATTATTTATTAGAAATTTGTGTCGAAGATATATCAAAATATATGAAAAATATATTCATTAAAATTTGCATCGAAAATATATTAAAATATATGAAAAAATATATTGCTCAATAAAAATGTATTAAAAATTATTGAAATTATTAAGTATAATATACCTGGTATATATGGTATAGGTATAGGTATTAATATACCTAATTATTAAGTATAACATTTCAGATTAGTTTTTGGTAAAATAATTTGAAAAATTGGAAGGAAAAATGAAAAATATAAAATTGGAAATCATAATATTAAAGAGAATTAAACATTACTTGCGCAGTCAATTATTAAGAGCTGTAATTTAATAATTACGCAAGGAAATATTACGTAAAGAACATTCTGTAAAATGGAAATTCATACAGGAAAGATATATTGTACATAGAATAACTAATTCATTCTATATTTGTATCGAGTTACAAAGAATGACTCAATCTTAGTCATATTATAAACGTAAATCTTTTCTTTGACGACGCTTTTATTGAACATTCGTGAGTAATACCTGGTTCATCCGCGATTCTTGCCAAGTAAATAACTTTCGTAACAGAACTACGATATACAATGTCTAATTTAAGCATTTCAAAGTTGCAAAAATTAACATTGTTGTGGATAAACCAAAAATTATTCTCGGAAGAAGATTAAAATTTTTATGAGTTCTCTAAAAGTTACTATAAAATTAATCATATTTCAATTAAATATTAAGTCAATTAATAATTGAATTTCATTCAGGAAAAATTCCGGCAATTACTCTGTAATTTTTATTTAAAACCAAATCAAAAATTATTCTCAGAAGAAGATTAAAATTTGTATGATCTCTTCATCTCTAAACATTACTATAAAATTAATCATATTTCAATTCAATATTAAGTCAATTAATAACTGAATGTCATTCGGTAAAAATTCTGGCAATTACTCTGTAATTTTTATTTAAAACCAAACCAAAAATTATTCTCAGAAGAAGATTAAAATTTGTATGATCTCTTCATCTCTAAACATTACTATAAAAATAATCATATTTCAATTCAATATTAAGTCAATTAATAATTGAATTTCATTCAGGAAAAATTCTGGCAATTACTCTGTAATTTTTATTTAAATGATAGTCAAATTTTAAGAAGCTTCTCTGTTTCATATTAATTGTATACAATAATGAAAATGAATACTAAACGGACACGACATTGCAACGAAGAATTTTGAAGTCCAAATCATATAGAGAAGAAAATATGCTAGTAGGACAATGTTCAACTGAGTGAGTTTAACAATGAGCAGTTCTCGTGATGAATGACTCTTCGTGCAAAAGAAGCCGGAAACAAAGAGGTACTAGAAATATCAGAAGTGAATGCATTTAACGTGCATCTAGAACATTAGCTTACTTTGCGAAAACCTAGTTTCCATTTCATGGTGGAAGATAACCTCGAAACAACGCATTTAATATGATTAGGTAAGTATAATAAGTAATTTTAAAAAATTAATTAAACTACAGTGAACAAAATATTAGTTCAAATAGTGCGAAAAACTTCGCATACAAAATATATTTATATAATGACTGTCAGAAAACTAAATATTAACTCATGTAGAATTAATAAGAATGGAAGTTCTACTTAAAGAAATAATTTAATGATATTTTGTACTAATCAAAGTAAGGTTTATTTTGTCCCATTCAAGATAAATTATTTTATTTATTCAAAAAATTGTATAAATTCAAAATTTTTCTTCTCTTGAATTTAATTCCTTTTTTTCATTATTTAAACTTCCTGTTTTCTTTGTACTATATTTTCAAGTATGCTAGTAAGATTGTAATATATTAAACTATATTTTAGTACATTTTATGGAAACATCTATAATGAAAACGGAAATGATTTCTTCTCAATTCTTTTATTGCGACTTCTAACCAATAAAAATATTAATTAAAAAAATATTTTATTTTATTAAGATTCTACCTCTTCCACCGCCTCCATAAGCGGCCTTGAAGATGACCGGAAGTCCATGTTTCATACAAAACTCCATTGCCTCGTCGGACGTGGTCACTGGTCCATCTGTTCCAGGAACAATTGGCACTCCTGCATCTATTGCGGCCTGCCTTGCAGCTACCTGACAATTTATTTAGAAATTAATTATTTAGGAATTAATTGTATCCGAAACACGATTTATTCGTTAAATTAGATTAATCATTTAATTAAATTTTATATCGAAGAATTTGAAAATTAATTTGATAACTTTCCTTTGATATGAACCTTAAATTTTCGTCTAATAGTGTTCAACTCGTTACAAAAGTATTAGATTCGTATATTCTGCGTTATTTGCAAAGAAAATATTTTTAGTAGAATAATAAATAATTGTCAGAAGTTTTTAAACACTTCCCTGTTTTAATAATATTGTACTATGATACATTAGTTATAAAAATAATTAAAACACATATGCACTAGAATTGTCAATTAGTTATTTTTCATTAATACATAATTTTAAATTCTCAAGGCATGCTTAGAAATTTTCATAATACATTGACTGAAAATCGTATCCATAATATTAACAATCTTCAACCATGTGTTCTAAGAATTTTTGTAATATACAATATTTAATTATTTACTTCAAGATATTGATTTTAGAAAGATATACAAAATCACCATTATTATATTTCTTTTTAAATATATAAAAATTTAAGAATTTATCGAAAATTAATTTTCGTTCCAAAAGTAATGTATTGATAAATCGTACTTTGTCACCCATTTGCTGCACGACTTTCGGGCTGGGACCGATGAATCTTATTCCAGCATTTATTATTGCCTCCGCGAAATCTGATCGCTCAGACAGGAAGCCATAACCGGGATGAATAGCATCAACGTCATTTTCCTTCGCGACTTTGATAATTTCTGGAATATTCAAGTAAGCCTGTACAGGTGGAAGCCCTCTGCCAATCATGTAGCCCTCGTCAGCCTTTTGTCTGTGCATTTGCATCTTGTCTTGTTCCGAATAAATGGCCACGGAACGGATTCCGAGCTCGGTACATGCTCGGAACACGCGGATGGCGATTTCTCCTGTGAAAATAATAAATTTATGCCGTTATAGTGTTGTCTTTTTATTTTCTTTTTTAAAGATGTAAATTTTAGTGGAATTTTTGGAGGAAAGATCGAGATTTTGTAATAGTGGATAGCTTAGAAATGAAATGTAGCAGATGTTCATTTGTATGACAATGTCAAAAAGAAAATTGTGTAGAAAGTGTATACAAATTTTATATAAACTTTCTATCAATATTCTACAAAATTTCTATAAATATTTTATCAAATTTATATAAAATTTTGATAGAACTTTTGTAAATATTCTATAAAATGTTTCCAAAACTCGTATCAAATTTTTATAAAATTTCAATAGAATTCCTACAAATTTCTATACAATTTTTGTGAAATTTTTATAAAATTTGTATAGAATCTACATCAAATTTTTGTAAAATTCGTATACAATTTCTATCAAATTTTTATAAAATCATGACTCGTCACTGTCCTAAACGAAATCCATATTCTACATTTTAAAGCAATTATTTTCCGAATAACCTAAATCATAAAAGATTTGCATGACGAATTAAACTACTTCTTGAAACAACAATTACAGTGGCAAAAATTAATTACATAAATTATCTAACACTCGTACGTGCATACTACTTAGAATATTTAATAACACACTCGTCATACTAATCAAAAAGCACGCTGAAAGTAATTAGCATTTATTCCATCAGAAAAATTACAGGTATGAATCGTGTAACTCGTGTTAATGAAACCTGTGTAATTAAACAGAGTGCTCGCTAACCAAAATTAAAAAGCTACCGCAGTTTTCGTACGTAGATCTATAGCATGGCCTTGTCTCATAAAATGGCTATCGATCTAGATAGTGCCTTATCGAGAGTTCATTAAAGGTAATGTAAGTACAAATGTTTCATGAACGTGGTACAAACATACTAGTCGATAACACTAATCGCCATTGTCAAAACGATGGATTTCATATTTCATACGTAATGACAAATATATTGAACGTAATAAATCTGTTAATATTGCCACAAATAAAATTTTGTAACGAAAGATTTGTAAAATATTGAAATTAATAGAAAGAAAAGAGAGAATGAGTTTTGTACGTAAGTATGATGTTTTTAATACTAGGTTTACGGACGCTATCTGTATACCTGTTTTTACATATTTGACACCTGTCAAATTGGCAAGTAAAGGAAACCACATGTCTTCTTTTTAACGATTAGTTTAATTTAAAAACAATTACAATATTAACAGTCTTAATATAAGTGAACTAAATCTGTAGTGTCTTCTTTTTAACGATTAGTTTAATTTAAAAACAATTACAATATTAACAGTCTTAATATAATTGAACTAAATCTGTTACCATTGTATAATTGGAGCAACCTATCCGTCAAATTGACGGGTGCCGTAAATCTAGTGTTAATTAACACGTTAAGTGTCCAGTCCGTTTTGCTTGTCGCTCCGTTCAGGCCCAAATTCGGCCGTCAAGTGGGCCACCAGTGGCGGGCAAAGTGTTTATAAAATTCGGAGATACTGTACCAATTGTTATAACAGGAATTCTCAATCGTTAGGTCCAAAGATGGCGAAAAATTTAACACCAAAAGTTAGCACCTTTTGGTCCTAATCTGGGCCAGTCCCTGAGGACCGGCGGGGCCCAAACAGGAAGTCTAGTGCCGGTCCCTGGGTACCGATGTGGCACTTCACTTAACTGGCACTTAACGTGTTAAATATAAAAGAAAGTTACGTTGGAATTATGGAGATATATTTACTGAATATAAATACTTCATATAATATGAAATTACCATGAATCATGCGATTACTTTCTTATTACTTATGGAATTTAATTAGAAATAAAATATTCCTGCATTCATTCTGAAAACTATTAATAAATAAATGAAATTATCGTAAGAGTTGTAATCATAAAATTTTCATAGTGCATATGTTTCATAAAATTCTATAAAAAGCTATTATATAAATATTTCAATTTTATCAAGCATGTCTTTTAATAATGAACACGTATAAGCACGTGTAGTGATTATTATATGATATATGATTTTATAGCATATTTACACGATGTTTGAAATTGCATTTAAATAAAACTCAAATTTAAAAATATCAGTGTAACGAAGACAGAAAATGTACAAGTACGAATGAATGACAGAATTACTATCATGAAACTAGTTTTTAATGCACAGAATTCATTTAATTAATTTAAAAATTTCATTTTCTGAAGGTTAATATAGAAATTGAAATATGCAGATACACTGGTGTTAATGAAAATTAAATACAAGTTTCTAGCAAAAATTCGCATAAATTTAACCTATATCTAATGATAAAATATTCGTGGTCTGATGGCATGTATCGTATGACTTAGAAGATTATAAAAAAGGAATGCCTTGTATTATTTCGTTACAGTCGTATGTTTACAATAATGCTTTACTTCGAACGTATTTATATGCATTGAAAATAACGTTAGTAAAGATAAATTTAAGTAATACGTGTAAAACGTAAAATGAAACGTGTTTGTGAACGAGTTTAATATCTTGTACATACCTATTTCCATTGCTATGTATCGTCTATTATTATTATCATATTCATATTTATTACTTACAATTTTTGTGAGATTTTCGACATTATGTCTATTATTAATTATTCTTGAATAGGAACCTTAATTACAATTATTTCGTAAGATACGTTAATATTTGTCACAATAAACCATAATATTTTTCTTCTTACAAAGAAGTTCTTATCTAACTAACGAATACGATTAATGAGATTCTTTCCTTATCAGCCTTTAAATATGTAATCATGTGTGTCATGCAGTCATTTATTTGTCCACTGTTTAATTAGAAGCTAATGAATTTTCTTTTTCCTCGTATTATTTGTGAATGCTAATCTCATTCTTATCGCTGATTTTTATCGTTATTTTCTCTGAAATATTTTTAATATTTTAATCAACTGAAAGTTATTTACGTTCATTCGTGTATTAAATTATTAAGGAATCTTATACGATTCAACGATTAATTATTGATTTTATTAACGCAAACGAAGGCTAAGGATAGATAAGAGAAACTATAAAAGTACCATTTTCATGAAAATATTTTATTTTCACGATACGACGATACGTTATCGTATTGACCGAATATTAATGAACATTCTTATCCAAGGCAGACACAATAGTGCACGCACTGCAATCATAACGTGTTATCATTCGTCTTGGTACGATTCGTTAGACGAACAACAGTTCCAGTCTTGCGGTCTACGAAGTATCTGAGATCCTTCTTCGCGAAAGATCGTGAGCTGAATAACTATGTTCTCGCTTCGAGCCGAATGCACAGCGAGGTCAATGTCGTTTTTGTGACACACCCGACTTTTACAGAAATTTTTGCATCGTCGACATTGATCGATATATGATGTATTAAAAATTGGATAAAATGAGTCTGGTAATATATTCTTGTTTCGTTAAGCAATAATATTCTATACATATACATATGCATATATAAATATATATGAAATATAAACAAAATAGAAATAGAAATATATTTACCGACTCATTGTACATAATTCTATATAATATTCTATGTACTATTAATACAATATAATAAATATAATA